GGACTCTGCCACTTACTAGTTGTATGACCTTGGACAAGTGGCTTAAATCGCTGAGCCTCTGTTTTCTTAGCTATAAAATGGGGATTTGGGATCTATTCAATGAGTTATTGTGAGGATTAAATGGAATAAGGCACATAATATACTCAACACATAGTAGTAGGTGGTCATGGTCAGTAGCAGCACTTGTTCTCCTGATTATTCTCAGAGGCAGTGGTCTTGCCTCCGAGAGTCCTGGTCCCAGAATGGCTAGGAGGGGCAGTGGGTGGGCAGGAAGAAGGGGTTAAAATAAAATAGCTATCATCTATTTAGCACTTACCATGTGACGGCCTCTGTTGTAGTCACCATATGAAACTATTACTATTTCCACTTTATAGACAAGGTGTCTGAGGCACAGAGAAGTTCAATAACTTGGCCAAAGTCATACAGCTAGTAAATGGCACAGTTGGGTAAATTCAGGCCCTCTGGCTCCAGAGTTCACGCTCTGAACCACTGTACTATCCTACTTCACATTAAACCCATTTTCAGATGAGTAATGCTGAGGTTCAAAGAGGTTAAGTTCACACTGCAGCTGAACAGGAGTGCATATAGGACACCACCTCAGATCCCGTGACTCTGAAGTTCTGGCAATTTCTGCTGTTGCCTGCTGCCCCCTAGTGTCTCCTATGGGAGAAACACACCAGAGGCGAGTGCCAGACACTCATGGATCCACGCTCCACCAGGCTCCCTTGACCCACTGCTCCTCCCCAAGCCCAAAGCTGCAGATCTTGCAGCTTCTAAATATCGCTCTGAATGTCATCCATATACAATCGTGACATTTCTTGGCTATCTCACAAATCCTCCTATTCAACAGGTCTAACACCAAGTTCACACTTTTATACCCCAAACTTGCCCTTCCCAGTAATCATCCATCCAGTAGCGCAAGCCAGAACCCTGGACATCCTTGACAACCCCTTCTTCTTCTCAATCTGTCACCCACCCAGGAGCCTGAATGGTGGCCGAGGAAGGAGACCAGAAAAGAAAACATTGAACAGAGCAGAGCAACACTGGTGGAAGGAGAGGATCAGGACAATGGCCCCTGGTCATGGCCAAGAGGCAAAACTGAGCTCAGGTGGCTCTGGTTAGAACGTCAGGTTGGCCTGTGGCGTAGCGGTTAAGTGCGCGCGCTCCGCTGCTGGCGGCCGGGGGTTCGGATCCCAGCAGGCCATGCTGTGGCGGTGTCCCATATAAAGTGGAGGAGGATGGGCACAGATGTTAGCCCAGGGCCAGTCTTCCTCAGCAAAAAGAGGAGCATTGGCATGGAAGTTAGGGGCTGAGCTTCCTCACAAAAAAAAAAGTCAGGCCTTTCTGCTTAGAAAGAAGCCCAAACATAGCTTTAAGGGCAGGGAGGAAGGGACATTAAGGAGCACTGTACTGGGGGCCAGAAAGACTGGGTTCCCACCCAGCTCCACGACTCATTCACAGCATGGCCTTAGGCAAATGGCCTAACTTTGATGTGCCTCAGTTTCTCCATCTGTAAAATGAATATGACAATGCCTACCTCTAGGGCTGCTGTAAGGATCAAATTAAAAAGTGTTTGCTTTGTAAACTGTAAAGGGACGTATGAATAATATTCTATTGTGTGTATATACCATATTTTGTTTATCCCTTTGTCTGTTGATGGACACTTGAGTTGTTTCCACCTTTTGGCTATTGTGAATAATGCTGCAATGAACACTGGTGTTGAAGTATCTGTCTGAGTCCCTATTTTCAGTTCTTTGGAGTATATACCCAGAGCGCCATTGGTTTTTCTATGGAGCCTTTCAATATGTACTGTGGCAGAGAGAAGGGCCCTTAGGAACAGGGCCCAGTGTGTTCAAGCGTGGGAGAGAGGGGGCAGAGAAGGAGAGAGGTTTCAGTGTGGCTGTGATTAGAATAACAGGTAACTTGTGTCTTTTGCAAGATACTCCACAAAGAACTCTAGAGGAAAAAACATTATCATGCCCATTTTACAGATGAGAAGGGAAGTGGCTTCTCCAAGGCTACACAGCTCGCTGGTGAGAGGCAGTGCTGGGGCTCCAGAAAAAGCTTCCCTCACACATCAGAAAATGCAGCCAGAGGTTCAGAGATCATGTTTTCCTTCCTTCCTTTTTTTCTTTCTACGTAAAGAAAGTAGTTCTGAGCTGCCTCAAGCATCATCTTTACTTATTAATCTACAGCACTTTAGGTACCACAGAATGAGAATTTTGTGTGCAGTTCTGCACGTTTACAACTAAAAGTACCCTAAGACCCAGCAAGTCCATTCCTGGGGTATAGCTACAAGATTGTACAACTAAAACTATGGAGACAGAAAATACATCAGTGGTTGCCAAGGCTGGGGTTGAGGGAGGGATTGACTATAGAGGGGTTTAGGGGAATTTTCAGGGGTGATGGAACTGAACTATATCTTGATTGTGGTGGTGGTTATGCAACTGTATGCATTTTTCAAAACTCACAGAACTGTACCCTAAAAAGGTGAATTTTACTGTATGTAAGTTATACCTTAATCTTTTAAAAAAGAATGAATAAAGGAACGGGAAAAAAACTAAATAAGACTCTAGACTCTCACATTTTTGCTACCTTGAGAACTCTGCAAGTGACAGTGGCCTTAGTTAGTTAGAGCATAAATTTCTATTTTTCATTCATTCATGATAAAATGAAAGTCCTTGAATCTACCATCCAACCCAAGACCCAGAACATTACTAAAAATTAAATCTACTTATGGGCTCCCCCCATCCCTGACCCCTACCCTTCCCTACCCCAGGTAATCACTATTCTGAATTTTGTGTTCCTAATTCTCTTGCCTTTTTTTTAAAAATAATTTTATTTATTTATTTTTTCCCCCAAAGCCCCAGTAGATAGTTGTGTGTCATAGTTGCACATCCTTCTAGTCGGTGTATGTGGTACGCAGCCTCAGCATGGCCAGAGAAGCGGTGCCTCGGTGCGCGCCCGGGATGCGAACCTGGGCCGCCAGCGGCGGAGTGCACACACTTAACCGCTAAGCCACGGGGCCAGCCCATCTCTTGCTCTTTTAATAGTTTTTTTTACACATAAATTGGGCAGAACCTTATGAATTTGCCACTTTTATAGGTGAAAACAGGTCAAAACCCAGCAATTTCATATGGTTGAACCCAATATCATGCCTAAACATAATACTTCTAGTTGCATCTGAACTTGATGTAAAAAGGATACCATTCCATATGTACTCTTCTGGGACTTGCATTTTTTCATTCAATATTAGGTCACCATAATTCAGCCATATTGCTGTTTTCCATTCTTTATCTCCTGTCAATGGCATTTGGGTGTTTTTGGTTTGAGGCTACGGTGAACAATGTTTCTACTACCATTCTTACACATGTCTCCTGGTGCACATGTACAATCTTGTAGCTATACCCCAGGAATGGACTTGCTGGGTCTTAGGGTACACAGATGTTCAGCTGTACACAATGACTCACTTTCTGAGCTCCAGGTGAGGATACAATGTGCCACCTGCCCCAGGTGAGAAGGTAGACAAGATGTGATGGGAGGGGCTGCCATGGAGGGTCTCTGGTGAAAATTGAACACCTACTGTGTGCACACGGTAGGGCACCTGTGCAATGAGATGATGGTGCCCTGAGAGGTGAGATAGGGAAGGAAACCCCCCAGTTGCCATGGGAATCATCTTCCAAGAAGTGTTCACCTTGGCTGGGCAAGGGGAGGGCTTGGCAACCCAAATAGGGCCGACCAAAAGGGTTCTGTCCTAATTGGCAGTATCTCCATCTGGGGGGTGGGGGGGCTGAAAGGGGGCTAAGCAGTACTGAATTCTTCCCACTTCACCAATCTGTACCCTAGTCATCTCTTATCTTACTTTGTCTCCATTATCTCTTTTAATTCTCCCAGTTGGAGAGAGGTACTATCATCTCCACAGACGAGGCTTAGAGAAAGAAAGTGCTGGCCCAAAGCCACAAGGTTTGCACCTGAGCAAATAATTTCTCTTTCCTAAACCTCATCTGTAAAATAGGAATGATAACACCTGGCCTGCCTTACAGACTAATGGAAAGACTAATTAATAGATGAAAGTAAGGGGTTTAGCACGGATCCTGGAGATGCTCCCTAAAAGTCACTTGTTTATTGGCGCTATTGTTGTTACTAAGTTATTAAGGGGAGCAGGAACCCAGGACAGTCTGAGCCCTAACTTCTTGCCACCCAACGATGTTGCCTCTTGCAGAGACCCCATAGGATGTGGTGATCATGGCCCATTTTAGCCACTTCTGCTGATCCGGGAGGTCTGTCAGGACTGCACAGCCCAGTCCCCTCCTCCACCCCACTCCCAGGCAGCAGAGCAGAGGTACTTGTCTTCTCCTGTCAATTTCCCCAAACAGAGAAGTTGAACTGACCAGTAAGCAGACGATCCCGGCCCCCAATTCTGCCTCATGGCAAAGGAAGAACTCGGAGCCCAGCGGTTTATTCAATAGAGAATATCTGCTGAGCACCTAGTACAGCCCAGTCCTGCACTGGGCCCCCCGAGCACTGGGAACAAGACCTGACCCTGTCCTCAAGGTCAGAGGCTAAAGGAGGAGACAGAAGATAAGAAAACAACGGTGTGCTGAGCATTATGATAAAGCAGGTCAGAGAACCGTTCTGTATAACAGACAACCAGACAGGCCTAGGGGTCAGGGAAGGCGTCCCAGGAGACATGCCCTTTGAGCTGGGCCTTTAATGCCTGGCAGGGGCTCCTAGGCGCTCAGAGACTGCTAGCACCACCCGCCCATTTAACAGAAGAGGAGACTGAGCCGCAGCGCCTCTCCACGTCAGGCCTCACTTACCCGGACTAGGCCAAGCACGGCTCTCTGTGTCCGCGAGCCAAGAGACCAAGCCTGACCCCGGTGTCCGCCCAGCGCCCGGGGCGGAGTCTCGGCCCAGGTGCGCGGCGGCGGCGGCGCTTCGCGGAGGCAGGAAGTGTGTCCTCAGCGGCGGCCCGTGCAGCGCTCCCGCGAGACGCTCACCTGCGCTCCAGGTGAGCGGCGAGGGGGGCGGGGGGAGGGGCCGAGCTGGAGGCAGCTCACCTGGCGGGACAGGTAAGCCTCGCGCAGGCCCGAGGGGGCGCGAACCGGGGCGGCACCGCTGTGGAAAGACCCCCGAGGCTGCGCCGGGGCGGGGGAGGGTCCCGAGACCGGTTCCTCGGGAGCCACCCTCCCACTTCCGGGGTGCGCGGGCTGGGCCGGGGAGCGGCCTGAGCGGGCGCCTGGGCTGGGCGGGCACACGGGGGGCCGTGTTCGCCTTTAGGGCTGCGCTGGCTTGGGGAGGGAGCCATGCTCGCCCGGGGGCAGTGTCGGAGTTGGGGAGCGGGCCGTGCTTACCCTGAGGAACAGTGTCAGGGCGGTAAAGAGGCTGGGTCCTCCGGCGGGCAGAGGGCCCCTGCAGCTGGAGAAGGTGGTGCTCGCCCAGAGGGCATTGCTAGTGTAGGGGCTGTGCTAGTCCGAGGGGCAGTGCTAGGGTCTGGTTCTTCCTTGTCCCCGGGACTAGGTGCCTGCGAATACGGGAGTCGCGGGCTGCCCCTCTGGGGCAGGAGGTCGAGGATACACCGATGCCCGGCGCTAGAGCCGACGGCTGTTTCGTGAGCAGGGCTGGGATGCCCCTCCCGGCCAGGTGTGCAAGACTCGGCTGGGCACGGGGGTGGGGCGGAGGCTGGTGCGGCTGGGCCTGTCCTGGGGACCTTGGGAGGAGGGGGCGGTATGGAGACAGACTCCTGAGTGTGTATGTTCTCAGGACTAAGGAGGATGGGGAGAGCATCAATGAGAAGTTCAGGGAGGATGCGCCTGGGGCCTGGGACCTTCTGATCCCTGGGAAGATACCTGCAGTGCCTTGGGGCGCCCAGTAACCTAGCCCCTCCCAGTTGCCAGGCACCCTGCTAAGCCCCCTGCACGCCATATCTCATTTAAACCTCAAGGTGGCCCATGAAGAATACTCATCTCTCCCCTTGTTAAAGATGAGAAAAGTGAGGCCAAGAGTCTTGCCCCATGCCACAATAGAAACAGGGACCCTCCCCCTCACTAAACCAAGTGACCAGTGTTCCTAGGATTTTGGAGGGGTGGGCAGCAGCAGTGAGGGGGAGACAGAGCCTGGACAAAATGGGCTGAGTTTGACTTCAGGAGGGTTCAGGGCCGAGAGGGGAGGGGGAGACTGAGGCCAGGCATTGTCCTTATCCCAGGTGTTGCTCCCCTTCCCTCCATCCCACCCCTATTTGAAATGCGTGGTAAAGAGAAAGCACATGGGGGGCCGGCCCCGTGGCTTAGCGGTTAAGTGTGTACGCTCCGCTACTGGCAGCCCGGGTTCGGATCCCGGGCGCGCACCAGCGCACCGCTTCTCCGGCCATGCTGAGGCCGCGTCCCACATACAGCAACTAGAAGGATGTGCAACTACGACATACAACTATCTACTGGGGCTTTGGGGGAAAAAAGGAGGAGGATTGGCAATAGATGTTAGCTCAGAGCCGGTCTTCCTCAACAAAAAATAAAAGAGGAGGATTAGCATGGATGTTAGCTCAGGGCTGATCTTCCTCACAAAAAAAAAAAAAAAAAAAGAGAGAGAGAGAAAGTACATGGGCTCCAGAGTCTGGAGGACCACAGTACAAATCCTTCTTGCTCTCTTGGCCTCACAGTACACATCCCTTTCTTGCTAGGTGTCTCTGGTCAAGTCACTTCATCTCTCTGAGCTTCAGATTCCTGATCTGTCCAGTGGAGATATAATACTTACAGGGCAATTGTGAGTGTTAAAAAAAGTGAACGTCCTCTTGGACTGGAGCCTGTTTCTGTCCTGTTAACTGCTGTTTCCCTAGCATTTAGCATAGTGCTGGGCACATGGTAGGTGCTCAGTAAATATTTGTTGGATGAATTTAATGAATAGTAGTGAATCCTAAAGCCTTGAAGGCGGAGGAGGAGACAGTGACCCTATCATCAGTAACCCCTTGATGTTCTTACAAACTCCAGGGACCACAGAGCTCAGTATGGTTGAAACAGTGTAGATGTGTCCACCCTCCTCATCTAAGGCCTGAGCCAGGAAGACTCAGGACTCCCTACTTGGGCCCTCTTTGGGCACAGGCTTGTCCATGGAGCTGGCAGCTGGCAGCTTTGACTGCCCCCTTCCTCCCAAGTAATAGATGGGATGGGGTAGTGCATAAGAGTCTGGGCCAGGCTTGAATACAAATAAATGTGTGGCTTTGGACAACTTATTTAACATCTCTGTGCCTCAGTATAGTAATAATAAAAACAATAATAATAATAATGGCTACAAATAGGGTTGTGAGAATTAATTGGTTTAATACATTTAAAGCACTTAGAACAATGTAAGCCATCAATCATTAACTTTCACTAGAGTGCAAGCTCCTAAGGTCAGAGAATTTTGTCTGTTTTACCACTGTATCCACTGAACTTAGAACAATGTCTGGCACACAGTAGGCCCTCAATAAATATTTGTTAATTGAGTGAATGAATGAATCCATACCCACCCCCACATTGCTCAAACCAAGGCAAAGATTTTAACCACTTGCCTTTTTGGATTGTGAGGGACTTCAGAGTTCCCTATTGCAATTTCAGTTTGCACAGGTTTGGAGAGGGGATTTCCACCCCTCCTTCCCTCAGACTGCTGCTCCTTCTCCCGCCCCCCCACCCACCCACTCCCCCTCTCTGGTCAGCCTAGAGCCTAAGTCCTTTTTCTTTCCACCCAGTGGTCCTGGCTTTACCCTGAGGTCACACAGAATCTGTCAGTTCCCTGAAGCACTTATTGTACCCAACTCTGTTCCCCACGCTGAGGCAGAAAGCAATCAGACACAGTCCCTGCCCCTCGGGGTCATATAGGCTTATCTTCAAACTGACCCAGCTGTCAGAGAACCTAGCAGAAGGCTGTAGGGAGAGGGGCTCCCATCTGACTTGGGGTTCTGAAGGTCCTTGGAGAAGGAGTGCTGGAGGAGTGGGTTGAAGAGTTGCAGGAATAGTTAATTCCTATATCTTCCTCATCCCCATTCACCATGGCTAACATTCCTTCCCCCACCCTTTCTCTCCCTACACATACACCTTCTGGTTTTGGGGGAACCTTTTGAGATTAGGTTGCAGACATCATGCTCCTTTACCCCTAAATGCTTCAGTGTATATTTCCTAAGAATAGGAATGTTGCCTTATATAACCCTAGTAATCAAATTCAGGAAATTTAATATTGACATAAAACTGTTAAATAATATACAGTCTATTTTTAAATTTCGCCAATTATCCACATTATCCAATTTCTAATTTTTCCTCTTGATCTAGGATCCAATCCAGGGTCACACATTGCATTTAGCTGTCATGTCCCTCAACTTGGGCTTGTCTGCTGTTTCCTCATGATTACATTCAGGGTATGCATTTTTGGCAGTAATATTTCATAAGTGATGTTGTATCCTTCTTAGTGCACAGTATCAGGAGGCACATGATGTCAGTTCGTCCCATTATTGGTAATGTTAACTTTGACCATTTGATTAAAGTGGTATCTGCCAGGTTTCTCCAGATTTGTTTTTTTTTTTACGTTCTCACTGGCCACAGCTAGTAGAAAGGAATGGAGGTGGCCAGAATGGGGGCCTTGACTGTATCTGGGTGAGAGATGATGGTAGCTCTCTTTAGGGAGGTGGCATTGATTTGCCATATTGCCTACTAGGGCCAGATCTGGGACTAGAACACAGATATCCTAATGCCCAGTCCCAGGTTCCTCACACATCACCAGTTCTAGGACCCCAGTGCCTTTAAATCAGGGATAAAAAGATAAGGGATCAGTGTCTCAGAAAATCCAGGCTAAGGATAGTTACTGCCCAGTAAACCCCTACATGTGATCAAGGACCCTCCCAAATACATCACTTACATGATGTTCCCTGACTCCCTCAGGCAGAGTTATTTATTCCCGTAATGCCTCATATATCCTACATGTTCCATCTTATGAGCTTTTAAGCATCTTTTTCTCTACAAAACCATGTGTGAATCACAAGAACGATCTGTAGTTCATTCATCTTTGGTTCTACGGTGCCTGACACAGGGCCAGGCTCAGTGTTTATGGGATGAATGAAGTCTTAGTTCTGAGCTTGCTAGCAACTAAGTCAAAAAGGGAAAGAAGATGTATTTTGGCTTGGCTTTTTGTCTAATCAAAGGAAGCGAAACAGTGCTTGGTGTTAAATGTTGCAAGAAGAGCAAATCTGAGCTAGACTGACATATTGATGGGGGACCTGTTATAGTCTCATGTCTGATTTGAAAGAGGAGGAGAAGAAGGGGAAGGTGGTAATGATCAGGTTCTATAGCAAGTCCCATGGAAAGGCATTTGCTGAGCAGCCTCAGAGTCTCTGTGCTGGGTGGGCTTACCAGCAGTAGGAAGAAACTGGGGGAGACTATTCCCCAGAAAGTGAGATCCCAGGAGATTTTTCTTTTTATGTGGTAAAATATACATAACATAAAGTTTACCATTTTAACCTTTTTAAAAATCATTTTAACCATACAGTTTTATGGCATTAAACACATTCACATTGATTTGTAACCATCACCACCACCATCCATCTCTAGAACTTTTTCATCTTTCCAAACTTGAACTCTACCCATTAAACACTAACTTTCTATTCTCCGCTGCCCCCAGCCCCTGGCAACTACCCTTCTACCTTCTGCCTCTATGAATTTGACTATTCTAGATATTTCATAGAAGTGGGACCATACAATATTTGTCCTTTTGTGTCAGGATTATTTCACTTAGCATAATGGCTTCAAGGCTTATCTATATTGTAGCATGTATCCGAATTTCATTCCTTTTTAGGGCTCAATAATATTCCATTGTATTTGTATATACCACATTTTGTTTATTTATTCATCTGTCAATGGACATTTGGGTTGTTTCCACCTTTTGCCTATTGTAAATAATGCTACTGTGAACATGTTGTAAAAATATCTTCAAGTATCTCTTCTCAGTCCTTTTGGGTATAGACCCAGAAGTGGGGTTGCTGGATCATCTGGTAATTCTGTTTAATTTTTTTAGGAACTGCTATACTGTTTTCCATAGCAGCTGCACCATTTTACAATCCCACCAGTAATGTACAAGGGTTCCAGCTTTTCCACACCGTCTCCAATGCTTGTCATTTTCTGTTTTTTCAATAGTAGCCATCCCAATGGGTGTGAAGTCCCAGGAGATTTTGACATGTAGGTTAGACTGCAGAGAGAATTTCCTCTTTGGGGAGGGAGGGAACGCTGGGTTAGAGTTCCAGGGCATATTTGGGCCTGTCCACATCACAGGCCTCTCAGAAACCAGAAGTCTGAAGCTCCTCAGGTCAGCGCAGGAGCTTGCCCTTGACCTCTAATCCTGACTCCTTCCTGGCCTCACCCCGACAGGTGCCTGGCTGTAACAAACCACGCAATGAGCCATGCCTCGCCCCGGACACCCCCGCCCATCGTCTGGGCCCCCACGCTTGGGTCCCTGGGAGCGGCCAACAGAGCTGTGCCTGGAGACATATGATGAGCCATCCCAGCCCCCACCAAGCCGCCGCACCCGTAGGCCAGACCCCAAGGACCCTGGCCACCATGGGCCCGAGAGCCTTACCTTCATCTCTGGCTCTGCTGAGCCTGCTGCCGAGCCCCCAGCCTGCTGCCTGCTCTGGCGACCCTGGGTGTGGGACTGGTGCCAGGCTGCCTTCTGCTTCCGCCGCTGCCGGGGTTGCCTCCAGCGCTGTGGAGCCTGTGTGCGGGGCTGTGGCCCCTGCTTGTCTGCTGGGGACTCCCCTGAGGGGGCTGCCGAAGCCAGCTGGGCCAAGGAGCACAATGGAGTGCCCCCCAGCCCTGACCGTGCACCTCCCAGCCGGCGGGATGGCCAGCGGCTCAAGACAACCATGGGTAGCAGCTTCAGCTACCCTGACGTCAAGCTCAAAGGCATCCCTGTATACCCCTACCGCAGCGCCACCTCCCCAGCCCCTGATGTGGACTCCTGTTGCAAGGAGCCGTTGGCTGAGCCCCCACCCATGCGGCACAGCCTGCCTAGCACCCTTGCCAGCAGCCCCCGTGGCTCCGAGGAGTACTACTCCTTCCATGAGTCGGACCTGGACCTGCCTGAGATAGGCAGTGGCTCCATGTCGAGCCGCGAGATCGATGTGCTCATCTTCAAGAAGCTTACGGAGCTGTTCAGCGTACACCAGATCGATGAGTTGGCCAAGTGCACATCAGACACTGTGTTCCTGGAGAAGACCAGTAAGATCTCGGACCTTATCAGCAGCATCACCCAGGACTACCACCTGGATGAGCAGGATGCTGAGGGCCGCCTGGTACGCGGCATCATTCGCATCAGTACCCGAAAGAGTCGCACTCGCCCGCAGACCACAGAGGGGCGGTCAACCCGGGCTGCTGCCTCTGCTGTTGCTGCCCCTGACAGTGGCCATGAGACCATGATGGGCTCAGGACTCAGCCAGGATGGTAGGTGGGGCCCCATAGGGCTGAGGGGCAAAGTGGAGGAGGCTCTGGCCAGGGGAGGGTTGCACTGGGGTCTTTGCCACTGTTGGTCCACCCCTCAGCCAGGCCCTGCTCTTCCTCCTCCTTTTCCTCCACTCCTCCACGTTCCCTAACAGGCTCCTTCTATCCCCTGCTACCACCTGCCACAGTAGCTTCCAGGCCGAGCCTGGTTAACAGGACCCAGGAACCTGTATGAATTTGGATCTCTGTCGTGGCCTAACCAAAACCTCACCACACAAACACACACACACAAGTTGTCTGTTTCTTTGTTTTAAACATTGTTTCTCTAGCCCAGCCCTGGGGTGAGTGGCCCTTCCCTCACTGGGCTAGGGGCAGAAGTAGGGAGTAGAGTTGAAAGAATGTGATAATGACCACTGCCCCCTCATGTTCCCTTCCTAGAACTCACAGTGCAGATCTCCCAGGAGACAACTGCAGATGCCATCGCCAGAAAGCTGAGGCCTTATGGAGCCCCAGGTTTGGTCCTGACCTGATGAGGAGTGTGGAGAGGAGAGGGGACTGTCCTAGGGGCCCCCCATATGCCCCCACCCAGCTTTCTCCTGGGGTGGGTGAGGATGGGCTCAGAAAGGGACGAGAAGCCTGAGCAGCCACAGACCCCATCCCAATCTTGCAAGCTGGCTTAAAGGGTTCAACTGGGAAAGATTCAGGGGGCTGCCCCTGAACCAGCAGGGGGAAGGTGCCCAGAACCAGCATCTAAGCCCAAGTCGCTGGGGAGGAAAGTGGAGGGTGGGAGGTCATCCACTGGTGCTGAAAAGGCACCTTATGTGGTTTCTATTACTGTCTTCTTGGCCTTCACAAGCCCCTGGGAGTGGGGTCATTACCTTTTTACAGAGAGCAGTGCTGGGGCTCAGAGAGGTCAAGACACTGAGTGGGTCACCCAGCCAGGATCAGATTGATCCAGGCTCAAGTCCTGCTCTGCTCCTTCTCAGCAGGCTTCTCCCTGCCCATGGACCTGGATGAGCCTCTTCCCCTCTCTGAGCCTCTGTTTCCTCCTCCTTTCCCCCTCAGGATTCCCAGCCAGCCACGACTCGTCCTTCCAGGGCACCGACACAGACTCATCAGGGGCACCCCTGCTCCAGGTGTACTGCTAACCCCTGCCGGGCCTAGTGGCTGCAACCCCTTCTGAGAGCACAGCCTACACCATGAAGAGGGGGACCAGGACCCCCTTTTGGGGAAGGCTGGCCACAAACCCAGAAGCAGTACCCACTCTGGCTCCTCCCACTTTGGCTGACTGGTTCCTGGACTATGTGCATTTCACTGGGCCATGGTGCCCACATCCTCCTGGATCCCCAGCTGGCCTGACCTCTGCCTGGGCCTATTTCTTCCTGCCCAGGTGGCCTGGGTCATGGGAAGCACAGACTTAGGGGTTACCTTCTGGGATTGAATCCCAACTCTACTACCCCCATAACATACCCCCATAACCCATCATGCAAACGTCCTCCTCCCCAAGATGGGGGGAAGGGGGTGACAGCTAAAAGAAGCTTGTCTTAAATGGATTGGGTTGAGGGGCAGGCAAGGCCTGTGGAATTCTGTGGGCAGTGCCCACTCCACATTATGTTCTGTTGAGCAGTTTCATTCTTGGCTGATATTCTACACGCTAACATGACCATAGTTGCAAGTACAAAGGTAACGGACGTCTGCCTGGTCATCTCGGCTGTGGTACTGTCCTTTCTGTCCCATCTGCCTGACTGCTGCCTGGAGCAGGAGACAGGATAGTGTCCAGCCTGGCTTAGTGTTGTCAGAAGGCTAAAATGGGAACAGTAATGCCCACCTCTCAAGTTCACTGTGAGTTCCAGGATGTAGAGCCAAGCAGTGTCTGTACCTGAGAAAGGTCTCACAAGTGGTTTCTGTCACTGTGAGGTTCTTCTAGGCAGGCTGGTCTGGACACCCCCTGCTGCCCCAGTTCACTGCCAGCAGGCTGGTCTGCTTCTGCCATCCCTGCAGTTTCCCCAAATCCCTGAGCGCTTTGTTAGCCCCCACCCAGCCTCATACCTCTTGCTCCCTCCACCTCTCCCTGGTGCTGACACAGCACTATGGTTCACTGTTATCTTTTTAGCTTTCCCAACAACCCTGGCGTGGGGTCACTCTTCTTTCACAGAGGTGGCGGCTAGGGCTCAGAGGGGTCAAGGAACTTAATGGGTCACGCAGCTGTTAACTGTGGCTCTGGAAACTGGCCTGTTGGCAATTCTGCCCCAAAGCCGGCAAGCTGATCTGCTTGAGGCAGAAGCAGGGTCTCCTCGTTTGGTCACTGGAGCCCAGCTGGGTTCAGAAGGATCCTACTCATCTCCTCCTCTCACAAAGGAGTGTCTGTTAGTCGTCTTCCAGCAGTGAGGCCAGAGCAGGCCCACCAGCCCATTCTTAAATGATGAAAAAGCTGGAAGGTATCCAGGATCCCCTCTCTGCTCCCACCTCACCTGCAGCCCCACAGTCCTTTTTCTTGTCCCCATAGGGACCCTTTGGAAAATGACAACTAAAACTGTACTTGTCTATCCAGTTTCCTATTGGACACACAGGATGGTCCCTTGAGGCTATGAGCATAGGGCCCAGTACCAGTGATAAAACTGGCCCCTTTCCTTAGGCTCTGCTGTGTCATCCAGGTCAAGGCCTCTCCACAATGGAAAATCACCACAGGGCACTGCAGCCCAGGGATGTTGCTGGACAGAGTAGCAGAGTGGTGCCATAGTCCCTTCACCCTTGCCTTGGCCCTAGAGCACTATATTCCAAACTCAGCCTTGAAAATCACTACTGGCATTCCCAAAAAAAGGAGTTTATCAATTTTGGAAAACTGACAAAGCTAGGTACTGCATAGCTTCTTTTAAGTCCTTCATAAGCTGTTCTGAAATGTTGAAAGGACATGCTGTATTCCAGAAATTCAAGGGTCGCCCTCAGCCCACTGACAGAACACTCTGGGCAAGTCAGTCTAACCATTCTGACGGTAACCATAACCTCCGAAGTTCGGCAGGGGTCAGCCGTGGGGGCTGGATTTGGGCAGAGGCAAGCACCCCTCCAGCCCTGGCACTGCCTCCGCAGCTGACTCCGAGAAGCCCTAAAATCTGCAGAGGTCCAGGTCAGAGACACCAACAATAGGGCCCCACTGGACTTTACCCTGCCTCCCGGCCAGGTCCCTGCATCACACACACACACAGCAGGTCTGAGGCCTGGGCAGTCCCCCGAGCCTTTGCTGCCCTCTGCTCCTAGGAAACAACAGTATGTAGTTTTAGAAACAGTTGATCCAGGGCTGGAGAACAGACCCACCACAGAGGGAAGTTGTCTTAGAGAGGAAATCGGAATCAACTAGTCCAGCTGGTCTTACACTTTGCTGAGTCATGGGCCCCTTTGAGAATCTGACATATGTTCAGGTCCCTGTAGCCAGAAAAACTCACCTTTGCTCAGAATCATAAGAGACTAAAAGTCTTGTTTTAATCTTCTCTTTAAGTAATGAGAAGGAGCCCCAGAGAGGGACAAAGACTTGCCCTAGGTCACATGGCAGAATCTGGGCTAGAAGCCAAGCCCCCAGCTCCCTGGAGCAGCCATAGAGGCCTGTACTCCAGGGAAAGGCCAGAAGGAAGAGGACACAGGGAGAACTGGGTAAATAGTTTTAATGTGTAACAATAAGCCAACTGAGGACAAGACCCCTCAATGCCCCAGCCCTTCTCTCATGATACCCTGGGACCTGTGTGCCTGGGCCAGTCCCATGCCTGCCCAGCCCCGAGCCCCCCAAGTCCCAGGGAAGCGCAGGGGGGAAAGAAGGTGGATGGCTAGGGGCTCAGCCTCAAGAGTTCAGGGAGGCAGATATGGGTTAGTTGAATTTGGCCTTGGAAAAATCCATCTCCGGATGCTGATCCATGAACCTGGGGAGGGAACAGGAAGGAGGTGAAACAGGCCATCCCTCTCTCCCAAAGTTAGTCCCTTCCTCCTAGCCCCCCATGTGAGGTCTAATCTCTTTAGAACCCTGAGCAACCTGGAGCCAGGCTGGGCAGGGGTGGGGCCCCAGGGTCTCTGAGGCCCATTTGAGCCCGAGGCTGGGAAGCTGAAGTGCCAATACCAGCACTGTTTTCCTGTGGGTGGCAATGGCCGCCTGTTATCTCTTCCTTCCTACCCGGAGGTGGCCTTGCCCTCAAGATGACCTCAGCAACTGATCAGGGTAGGCCAGCCAAGGCTATAAAGCCATAAACTTGGCTGGCTCATCCTGGAAGGTGCAGGGCAGCTCCTGTGTCCTGCTCAGTGACCCACTCACTGCTGTCACCCAGGTCCCAAGCCCCAAACACCCCCCAAGCCCCCAAACCCACCCCTGCCCAAACTACTTACTTCTTCAGAATCTCCTGTTTCTTCTGCTCATCTGAAGTGGGCAGCCCCATGGACTTCTGTCTCTGGTCATACATCATCTTTTCCACCATGCTGCGGGTCTCACTATCTAGGTCTGACAGCTAGGGGCAGGCAGTGACAGGGATAGTGAAGCTCTGGGGCCTCCTAGGCCCCTTACCTCCCAGCGAAAGCTCCCCCAAGCAGCCAGGGCTCACCTTGGAGTTCTCAGGGTTGATCTTCTTGGTATTAATCTCAGGGTCACTGGACACCAAGCGGCTCCACCACTCCATCTTGTTGATCTGTGAGGAAGAAAGAGAACCACCAGAGGATAGGAGGCAGCTCACTGTGCCCCAGGAACCACCCCCAACCCTTCCAGAACCAAAGTCTCTCCCATGCACATCCTGCACCTGGGATCCAGGCAGGCCTGTGCTGGGACCTGGGGGAAAGATGAGCAAGACCTCTGCCCTCCCCAGCGGCAGAGGGACAGTACAAAACAGCATGATAAGGGGAAGAATAAAGTGTAGAGGGAGATATATTCACCTAGGGTGGAGGGAGAGAAGTTAGAGTGACACTTGGGCTGGGCCTTAAGGGACACACAGGACACCCAATTAAAAAGCAGGGAAGGACATGCTAGGTGGGAGGAAAAGCAAGTGCACAGGCATGGACGGGTGAGTGAGAGGCAGCCCCGCCATCGGGGTAGGCTGGGACAGGCCTCATGTGCCACGGGGAGCCTTCCTTGGACCCTTGGCACTTCACGGAGACCACGTTTATTTACTGGTGTCCGTGTCCCATCTCTCTGTAGGGAGAGAACGTAGGCTTCCTGAGGGCACAGAGTTTACGTGTTGTTCTTGTTCTCTCTCCAGCACTCACAACAGTCTCTGGCACATAGTAGGTACGCAGGTATTTGCTGAAGTGAATGCCTGTACAAGCCTAATAGGAAGAAAGGCTTTGGGACCAAAGACTGTTTCAATCCTGACTCCACTCCTTCCTAGAGGTAGGAGCCTGGCCAAATCTCTGAGCTGCCCTTTTCCTGACTCTAAAATAGGACAGACCTACTTTAAAAAGTCTTGTTGTGAGGATTAAATAAGATATGCCCACCAGGCCCCCAGCATGGTCCCCGAATGAGCAGACGCCCTCCCCTCTTCCTCTATCGAGATGCAGGCCAGGAGGCCGGGCCTCTCGCACCTTCTCCAGATGCACCGTCACCACCTTGCCGTCTTCAATGAGCCACGAGCTCTCCTCCACCTTCACCTCATTGTAGAGCTCCCCGTCAATGATCGCCGGTTGTCCCTTGAGCCCCACCCGGAGGTGCCGCCGCTGGATGTCCACCACCACGTCCTTCCCCTTCAGCCGGAAGTTCACACAGAAGGGCACTGCCAGCTGCATGGGGCAGGAGCAGTCAGGAGGGGCCCCAGGCTGGCTCCCTAAACTCCACCCTGGTCCCTGCCACTCACGTCCAGCTCTGACAGGGTCTGGGTCCAGCGGTAATTGGGCAGGTCTGCCCCGTTGCCGAGGTTGGGCTTCAGTTTCCCTTTATCCTTCTCGTCCTCCTCCTCTTCATCCTCCTCCACCTCCTGCTCATAGTTGGGGTGCTCAGCTACTTACCTGACAGACACAGACTGAACCCCACTGGGCATAGAGCCACAAAACGAAAAAGACCTGGTCCCTGCCCACTCTATGGCCCACTGGGAGCCAGCAGTTAAACCTGGTTCTGATCTCTGCCTGAGAGCTCAGACTGTTATAGCATATGACAAAGAACCCAGCTGGGGGACTGTGACAGTCATAGATAGACCCATAGGATCCAGCTGGGGGTCCAAGCCAAGGGACTCTGGAAGAAGGCCCAGCACAGAGCAGAAGGTCACAAGGTGGCCATGAGCAGGGTTCTCCTAAAATAAAACCAGGCTGCCAAATGACCAATTTCCTTTTTCTATGTCTATAGAGTTGAGACCCCTAGTCTCAGATCAGAACCTCTGGAAAGCTAAATAAATGCCCCAAAGATTGCTTGGGAAGCTGGACTCGAGTCATCGGGAGGAGCACTGCAGAGCATACCCCAAGATGTGTCAGAGTATTCCACCATCATAAAGGGCCAGGCGGGGCCCACAGACCCCAGCCCACCAGGCTGGTACCTGTACCAGCACTGCCTCTGTGGCTCTTCGGATTTTCTGCCAAAGCTTAAGGCCAGTGGGTTTTGGGTTTTTTAACCCAGATTCTTTGGTCCAGTGTTTCTGAGTAGGATAGGATCCTCAAAGCTGGGAGGGGGGGTGTGGACGTAGCGGAGGGCATTCCAGAGAAAGGGAAAGGCTGGAGAGTCCCTGGAAGTTCCCAAACCTCTGGCTAATCCCA